GCCTCTCACCCTCCCTGGGCTTCTAGAATCCCTTCTGATTTCTGTGTCGGGGTTCCTGCTCAATTGCCTTGACCTTCAGCACCTGCTTGCCCTTCCATCTGGGCTCAGCTCTCTGAACTTAACCTCCATTTCTCCTTGCCCGTGGTCCATCTCAGTGCTATTTCCTATCATGGCTCCAGGCCCTCCTGCACGTCCCTGTCCTGCTGTTGCCTGCTCCCAATATGACAAGTGTGATTATCAAAAGGCCTATTTTCCAGAGATTTTATAAGACAACCTGCAATTTCCTATCTTTCAGTGGGAGAAAGCCTGGTGGTTCAGGAGCTAAACAGAAAAATGTGAATCGTTCAGGGGTATGCACTTAATCCTCTCTGGTTTTGCTGGAATCTGACATCATTAAGAAGAAAAATAAATAATACTGGTGGCCAGCCCAGTGGTGTAGGGGTTAAGTTTGGCACACTCTGCTTTGGCAGCCCAGGTTCATGGGTTCGGATCCGAGGTGCAGACCTACACCACTCATCAAGCCATGCTGTGGCAGTGACCTGCATACAAAATAGAGGAAAGATTGGCACGGATGTTAGCTCAGGGTGGATTTTCCTCACGCCAAAAGATGAGGATTGGCAAAAGATATTAGCTCAGGGCCAATCTCCCTCACACACACACAAAAAGTTAAAAAAAATAATAATACTGGAAGTGATAACAAAATAATATTTAAACTAAATGGGAAAAATGAATGGTTTGCACTTAATCAGCCATTGCTCTGTGTTAATTTCTTATTGCTAATATAAGAAATTCTGCAAACTTAGTGGCTTAAAACAACACAGTTTATTCCCTTATCATTGTGGAGATCAGAAGTCAGAAATGGATCGTTTTGGGGGCTAAAATCAAGGTGTTGTCTGGACTGCATTTTTTCTGGAGGTTCCAGGGGCACATTGATTCCCTTTCCTTTTCCAGTTTCTGGAGGATGCCTGCATTCCTTGGCTCATGGCTCCTTCCTCCATCTTCAAGCCATCAATCACGTCCCTCTGACCTCTGCTTCTGTTACCACATCTTCTTCTCTGACTCTGAACCTCCTGCCCATACAGCCCGTTGTGATTACATTGGGCCCATCTGGATAATCCAGGATCATCTCCCCATCTCCAGATGCTTAACTTAATCACATCTACAAACTCCCTTTTGCCGTATAAGGTGACATATTTGCCTGTTCCAGGGGTTAGGATGTGGATGTCTTTGGGAGGCCGTTATCCTACCTACCCCACTTTTCATGGCTAATTTCATGGTTAGTTTGGAGAGCTCCGCTAGCAGTAGAATATGCCACATGCTAAGTGTTTTCCACGCCTTCTTGTTTATTCATCATGAAACTCCATAAAGTGAGCACCAGTGGCAGATCCATCGAATATTTGGGGAAACTGAAGCTAAGAGAAATGAAATCTCTGGCCGAAGTTGCCCAAATTTGCTTGCATTTGTCTTATTATCAGTCCGTATCCTGTCTTTCCCTAGCTCCATCCCTGTTGTCTCACAAGTATCTAAATAACTGTAGCCTCCTGGGAGCTCACCTGTGACCACTGGGGTACCAGCCACATCCAGGAGAGGGTGCCTTAGATTTGGAAATAATGACATATGAGGAGTTTTATACCAGATTGGTTTATTTATTTTTTGGCACATTATTTTTTTTTCTGCCTGGCTTTTTTCTATACTTCTTTGTCCTTAACATTCAATGTTTTTATGAATATGTACTATAACTATTGTAGTTTCCATAAATTTTGTCAAGTAGATGGTGGGCCATTTCAATCTGAAGATTTAGGTCTTATTTTAATCCAGGAATGTGACCTAATATATCTTGGGATGTGATCTGTGTTCCGTTCGTTCAGCTCTCTTCCTTAGGACACCACTTATTTATCTGGTGGTTGGTTGTCTGGTGTCTGTTTTCTTCATCTATTTGTCTCTCTCCAATTCCTTTATCTTTGCTTTCCTTGCTCTCTGGGTTAGTTTTTCAAGCCTGTCCTCCGAGTCGCTGGTTTTCTGCAGTGCTGATTCAGTTCTTCGCTGCTGATGCCATTTTGAATTCTGCAAATGGCATTGCTTGTTTCCTGTAATTCATCCCTGGGCTCCTCTGGGTTTAATCTCTTTCTTTGTACTTTTCCTTATCCACTCACCTCCTAGCCCCTGTTTTATAGAGCTCATGTGTTGACATCACTCTTGGTCTCTCCTTTTTATCCCCCACATTTCTTGGCTGTTGAAAGCATTGGATGTCTGTGCAAAAGCACTGTGTCTGATAAGCTGTCTGTTTGGTTGACACTTTTGCTTGTTTCCCCCCACATCCTATACAGCATCCCTCCCTCCACCCTCTCTTTGCCTCTTTTTTGGTCTTCAGTTCAGAAATTGGTAGCAAATAAGCAGATCCTGTTCACACCTGTTACCCACTATCCCACATTTGGAAATGAGAATGCTGGAGGAGATGACTGATGGGGGTTAGTTACCCCCACATCAGAGCAACACACATGCTATTCTCAGGACAGGCTCTGAAGCTGGATGTCTGGTTCAATCCCAGCTCTGCCACTTATGAGCTGTGCAGCCTTGGGCATGCAGTGTCACTTCTCTGAGTTTTAGCTTCCTCATGTATACAATAGTGATAATAAGTGTGCTCACCTCATGGATTTTTGTGGGGAATTAATGAGAAGGCGTGCAAACCACTTAGCCCATAATAGTGCTCAGTCACTATTAGCTTCAAAAAGAAAGAAAGAAAAGATAAAAGCATTTGTGATGTTATAAATAAATTAGGTTAGAAAATACCCACCCAAAGCCTTGTCACTCCCTTGTCCATATCTCCCATGGTGGCCCTGAAGGGCCTTGCTCAGCAGTGAGGAAAATGAGCTTTCGGTGACTCCATCTCTTCCGAGGCCTTCCCATACATTTGACCAACTCTTCCTGAAATCAGGACACATTCTTGGCATTTGCCAAAATTTCCTCTACTTCCTCCTTGCACTGTCTGGGGAAAGGGAATCGTGTTTGGGGTCTGGTCAGTTATAGTTTGATCGAGTTGTACCATCTCTTGAAAAACTGTATCAGGTGTGAGGCGGGTGGCTGGCAGCACTCATGACCTTCCCCTTCCATTCCCTTGTGCTTGTTTTTGTCTGGTCATATCGCTTAGTTTGTGGAATGGGAGCGGGTAATGGCTGCCTCTCCTACTGTCATGGCTTTTAAAAAAATACCATTTATTTTATTATTTTCAAGTACAAAAGCAATACATGTTTGAGGCAGAAGGTCTAGGGAATGCCAAAAATTCAAAAGAAGAGGAAAACTGTTACCCACATTCTCTCTGTCCAGCCTGCAGCAGTCCACTGGAGGCCTTGGTTGCTCCGTGTTTCTTGGCTTCCTGCTCGCTGCCTTCCCCTGCTGTCCCACCTCGTTCGCTTGTACAGCTGAGCACGGTGGCTCTATGCCCCTTATCTCCCAGTCCTGACACATCACTGATGGGGGCGATGGAAGATGAAGTGGATGAAAGTAGGTCACGCATGTGACGGAACTGTTTACTTTGTTCAGGAAGCGATGAAGATCACATCTTGGAAGACTTGGGGCGTGGGGAATCCGATAAATCTCAAGATTTCCCTAAATCTGACCTGATAATTAAAACGCTCAATTTTACGTTTGGAAAATGATTTTTTTTTCTTTTAGTGAGGAAGATTCGCCCTGAGCTAACATCTATTGCCAATCTTCCTCTGCTTTGTATGTGGGATGCCCCCACAGCACGGCCCATGAGTGGAGCAGGTCCGTGCCCAGGATCTGAACCCACGAACCAGGGCCTCGAAGCAGAGCATGTGGAGCTGTAGCCACTTGGCCACAGGACCGGCCCCCGGAAAAAGATTTTAAATTAAGGCAGGCAGTGAGGATACGGTCTCAGTGAAAAGAGTGCGTGGAAGTCCTAGATAAAGGAGTTACTTGCTCTACTTGTTTATTAACCTCACTGACATTTGGATTCTTCTAAGAAGAGCAGCAATAATACACACCTCAATCAAGGCTGTGAGGATTAAAGGGGAGACTCAGGTTCTGGCACTTAGTAGGTGCTTAATAAATATCCACCCAAACCGCATCCCTGTGCATGTGCCTTGGTGGCTCTCACAACTTGCTACTGTGAAAAGATCTCATTCAGACTCAGAATATCACACCTAGGATTCACCATGGTAAAGACAAAAATGCCTGTGCATTCACCTTGATTCTAGAAATGTTTACCGAGTCGGGAGGCTTCTGGGCATGGTGTGGGTGATGGAAAGAGCAAAGTCCTGCCTTTGGGAGTTCACAGTCTATGGTAGAAAACAGTTGTAGCAAAGTTGCGTGGGAAATTTGCACCATACATAAGAGACTGAATAGATTCCAGAGGTGGTGTGACAGTCAGGGGAACTTACTGGCGGTGGTGATGAGCTCAACTTAGGTTTATAAGGGAGAGGGAGTATCCCCAGGGAGTAGGAGATTCCAGGCAGAGGAAAGAGCGTCTGCCAAGGAGGGGAGGTGTTGAAAAGCCCCCATGCACACTCTACCCATGGGGACAGATTGTTCCCTGTGGGGGGTGCTCAGAGGCTGGGTTGGGTACCAAGGCACCAGCCATGGGGCTGGGGACAGGCTGTTCATTATCGCTTCATGGGCTGTGTTCTCATTAACCTCGCTGAGTCTGTCTTTGGGGAAACCCTGTGGGTTCTGCTTAAGAGATGAAGGAAAATTGGAGGAAGGTTAAGGGGCTAAGTGCCAACCCTAAATGCAGGCTGAGCAAGGCGTTTAGAAGGGGGCTGTGCCCTCTCTTCTTACCACCAGACATCCACCCTCTTGAATGAGCTCACTAGCAATGTTTATTCTTGAACCGGATCACTAGAGAAAACCAGACATGGACACTCCTTATTGTGGAAAGTCATGGGCCCCAGGGGTGTGGAGACAGGTGGAGCCTCTGTGCTAGGAGTCACTCGGGAGTGTGTGATGATAGGATTTCTCCTCTCCCTTCCTCTGTCTTGCAGCAATGGAATGGCAGGGATACGGCCCTCATGGTCACCCGCGTGGTCAACCACAGGCGCTTCTCGGCCACCGTCAGCGTGGCAGACACTGCCCAGCGAAGCGTGAGCAAGTACCGCTGTGTGATCCGCTCCGATGGTGGCTCCGGTGTGTCCAACTACGCCGAGCTGATTGTGAAAGGTGAGTGCCACCAGCCCGTGCCTCTGCCTACTGGTTGATTTTATGGGAATCCCTTGGCTCCATCCTTGGAAGGGTAGGAGGAGTTAAGGCACCTTTTCTCATCTGCTGCTCCTCCGTTCAGTAGAATGAGACACAATTTCCAATCACTCACTCCCACACACACACCAAAAAAGAGAAGTTATTGTAAAATCATGCAATATTGCATTGTTATTCGAAGTTGGGTCTTACGTATAGGATCCATACGTGAAAGCCCATGGGATGTATGACACAGAAGACATCTCCAAATTTGGCTTATTTTGCATTTAAAGTTAGAATGAAGCAATGTCCATGTGTTCTGGTGGTGTTCTATTGCAGCGTTCAGAGAGTACAATGGTTTCTGAGGGATTTTTTTGTTGAAAACTTGATATAATGACATTACTTTGGAAGGACTTTTGAAATGAGTAATCCCCCACCCCACTGGCCTTGATTCAATTCTTCTCACTTTTCTTGTTCTTATTCACCTTGAGGTATCATTGACATGCTTTCCATTAAAATATGCATATTGCTTCCTTTCCTGCTTCTTTCAAGGAGCTGGATATCCCATTTATTTCTGAAAGTCTGTATAATATTTATTATAATGCTTAATGGTTGTATACTATTTCATCAAGTGAATCATCCTCTTTTTTTAATCTCCCTATTTGTAGTCATTTAGATAATTCCAGGTGTTTTTGTTATTGTTTTATCTTTCCTTTGTGGGTGCAACAATTAACACCTCAATGGAGTTCTTCAGAAGAGAACGTTTTTATTCAATTGAACCAGATTATTTCCTCGGATAAATTCCCTCGGGGTAGAGTTGGTAGGCCAAAGAATATGAACATCTTTATGGATTTTTCTTTGTGTTACAATACTGCTTTTGCAAAAAACAGTTTGACAGTTTACACTAGAAAACAGCAGTGTAAGGATGTACTCATTTTCCAGCATTATGTTCACCGATTAAAATTTTAATATAGCATAATTTAGTGAATGAAGTAATGAAGCTATTTATCTTATGCTAGCTGTAGAATGATGCCTGGTGTGTTTGAAGGTAAAAACATTGATCGACCCCCCAGAAGGCTCCTGAGTTGGTTTCCTTAGTCAAAGTATAGGTTCGTATGTAACCCTTGACCTCTGTTTGCTGGCCTCCATGGAACTGGTAGCCTGGCCTGGATCAGACTAGAGGTTGCAGCCTGGAATTCTCTCTTCTGGGCTGTCCTGATTCTAGATGGATATTCACAAGGCTGAGCATTTGTCATCATTCAGGTCTCAGCTTGAATGGCATCATGCTGTCCGTCTTCTCTGAGAGAATTTCCCTGGCCCCCCATTCTGGTGGTTGCTTTCTATCACATAAGCTTTTCTGTTTGTCTACAGAGCACTCAGCACTCTTCAAAATTATGGTTCTTCCTTATTTCTTTACTTGGTAATTTTCTGTCTTCCCATCTAGGATCTAAGCTCTTTGAGAAGAGGGGGCATCTTCTACGTGGTTCATGGTTCACAATAAGTCCCTCAGGCTTAGCTGAGTACCTGTCACAAGTGCTGAGCACATCGAACCATGTGAAATCACCAGTAGCTGACTGTTTCGACCCAGATCATCAGTCATTTTATAAGGCTAAACCTTGAAATATTTGTTGAATGATGGATGAATGAATGAATTACTGGCCTCAGCAGGAATTCATGTCATCATCATAATGCCATGAACACTTAAGCTAAATATCAACAAATTAGACAGTCATGAACAAAACAACTAACAGAAAAAGAAATCTTTAAAATCGTATACATTGAATGCCATTAATACATAAAAGAAATCATCATTTTGATTGCATTAGGCTCATATCTTTGCTTTCTTGGTGCCATAAGATTGATTTCTATGACAAAGTGCCCTTTTCAGGCCTTTCAGGTGCTCAGTGATTATGTCATTTCCTGAGCTGTCTCCCCTGGAACGCCGATTAGACCTCTTTTCTCTCCCACACTGGAATGGAAGCCCCATGAGAGAATGGACTGTGCTTTCTCATGCTGCCCATGGTCTTGCCAGCACCTTGCATGTGCCTGGCACACAGTTGGTGATGACAGAATAGGGCGAATGATTGTGGGAGCTAGTGTAGCGCTCTGAGCTTTTCACACACCAAGAAACAGAACCAGAAAATGCTTGGTCCGTTCTTTCCTTATGTCCTCAGTTGTGGGGGAGGAGGAAGCCAAGGCCCTTGGGAACAGAGGATGTGCTTTCCATGGTGAAGCGTCATTGCCTTTATTTGGAGGGGTCGCCAGTGGTACTGGGGCAGTGATTTGTCCTTTGCTGGCAGTGCGTCTGGGCCAGAGTTCAGCCTGGAGGGAGCACTCCACGGACCAAGTTTGTGACTATAATTCAGAAGCCACCACAGCTCTGAACCCCCTCACAGCTCCCTGTTAAGGGATGCCCTGGGTGGCCTCCTTCTGAGGTCTCCTTCCCAGTGGACGATGGCGGGTCGGCACGCCCTGTAACCTGTCCTGTTTTATTACACCTTGATAAAGTCCTTTATGGGATATCACTATTTTTGGTGCCCATTTTTCCCCCTATTTCATTTTTTTCCTTTTTACTTTCAGCTGGTGGTAAGCTAGAAGCTGGGCCCCTTGCGTGTAGAAGTCCCTTTACATATGCAACCTAACTGAGTCCTAAATGTGGCTCTGCACCTTGGTTTTATTTGAACTCATTTCACAGCTGAAAGAACTGCCACAGCCAGGTTGAGAAGCAGAGAGCAGTCCTAAGGGGCAGAGCTGGAGCCCACCCTGGGGCTGGCGCATGCTATTTTGGCCACACCTGGAGGCCTTGTTGGCACCTGGTATCATAATGTCATGAACAGTGTCGAAAGGGTCCAGACAGCAGGCAAGGCTCATGACAGGAGTCCCTGGACTTGTTGCCAACTTGCCCTTTAAACTCATGTCCCTCCTCCCACCACTCCCCCACCTCTCTCGAATGGGGTACTAACTTCCAGGTTCCTGGAGGAATGAATTTAACCCTTCCCTACTCACACACACACACACACACACACACTCCTGAAGAGCCAGTGGTACCCAAGCCAAACAAGAATATGAAAGGCAGGGACCCCGAGAAGCAGAGTGTCCAGGGGAAGCCTGTCACCCTGGAGGGTATGCCCGGGAACCCATTGGAAGCAGCAAACCAGAGCATTTGGGGGAAAGTGTCTTAAGAAGAATGACTCACTTACCTCTTGGAGCCCCTTGCCGTGCTGAGCCAGGATGCTTAAATTATTTAATACTGAAGTATTTGCACTTGTAAAAAAAAAAAAAAAAAAACAAGGGAAGAATATAAATCTTCCTTCTTTCAGGGAAGGGAGAAAGTCTGAGAATCAAAACAAAACAAAACAAAAATATTCTCAAGGTCTAAGTGCTCTCCCAGCGGCTGGGGCTTCTCCTCAGGTTGAATTTCCTCTTCCTGGTTTACATGTCACACAGATGGTGTGGGCTGAGGGGGAGGGAGCTGACACTGGGGCATCACAAAGGAAAACCACCCCTGGGCAGCGTTTTTTCCATGTTTCCTGCCTTTAATCTCAATTCAGAGACAGGAAAGAGCTCTGGAGCGGGGATGCTCCAGTTTGAGTCCTGGCCCCATCGCATCCCCACTCTGTGACTTGAACATCAACCTCTCTCAGCTTCGGCTGGCTCACTGGGAATGCGGGAATAGGATTCCCTCCCTCAGAGGGTGTGTGTCCTGAGGATTAAATGAGACAATGGATCTAGGAGGTTTTAGAACAGTGCCTGTCCCACTAGCCTATAGGTGTTTGTTAAATAAAATAAATAACTGGCCAGTGTGGGTGGGGTTTCCCAGGTAAGAAAGTAAGAGGGTGAAGGGCTGGCTGGCTGGGTGGCGACCCGACGCCCGACGCTGGTGCCGATTTGCTTGCTGTCTGTGTGGCCTTGGAGAGATCATTTAAGGCCTCCTCTGCAAAGTGGGGCTGGTGCTCTCTCCTCTGCAGTCATGTGCTGAGAATAAGGAAAGGGAGGGAGGAAGTATCAAAGTGGGGGCCAACATGTGGTCTTGGGAACATTTAGGTCATGGAGTCCATGCTGGGTCAGATTCCTGGGACTCCTCTTCTATCCACCACTGGTGAGCCAGGAACAGAGGACAAGGGAAAAGTAGCTGGTCCTGCTCATGCTCAGCCACCTGACCACATGGGCTCCCTCCCCCTGCCATCACTCATTCAGAACTTGGGCCATGCAGGGGTTGGGAGGTCACAGGGCCCCGCAGCATCCAAAGGTGCCAGGAACTGGAGGGCCCTCTGATGGCATCCACGGCAGGTGCTTGTGCTGGGCCGGGCACTGGAGGCCCAGGCTGGGTCTCTGTGTCTCCCTAAGCTGGCATGGTTATGGCTGGTTGGCTGGCGGCTAAGGTGCCATCCTGGGACTGAGAGCATCACTGCTTCAGAAGATGCTGCCTAAGTTAAGTGTAGGTAATATCAAATTCTCGAGGCGGCACACAGATCAAAATGAAAGCAAATTGGAATTACTTAATTCTGAAGAGCTGTTTATTGAGTTGTGGTAATGTACCTGGGTCTACATTAGATGACTCTGTAATTGAGGTTTCGCTCGATTGACAATCCGGCCCCTCAGCCTACCTGTTCCACACCAGTGCTCATAAATGCACTTCCTCTCTCCCCGTCTCTGCGTTTCCTGCTGTCTTCGATTTCAAGGTGTTTCAGCTTATCCCAAGGACGGAGGTGTCTTCAACCAAAGTTATGCAGATGCATCCTGATGAACATCTGCTAACATAAAGAATTTGTGGTTGGTAGTGATTTTTAAATCCGTCTTCCAGTTCCATTTAACAACCTGCCGTGGGCTCAGAACCCTCTCATCAATATGCGGGTTAGTGCCCGGAAGAAAGCTAATGTTGGCGCTGGGAGTCAGGTGTTCTGATTTAAATACTGATGTGACTTCCTACCAAGGTAGGAAGAGTCAGGAGTAGGACTTTTTGGTTGTAAACACACCCGAATTTC